CCACGCCCATACAGTCACGCTCATGCCGTCGCACTCACGCAGCCACGCCCATACAGTCACGCTCATGCCGTCACATCCTGGCGGTCACCACTATTCCCCAGCATTCACGCTATGACTCCCACTCCACCACATCCGCGCACTCACGTTTGCAGCTCTCGCTTCCGCACTCCCGGCTTCATTTTCAAACTGCCGCAGCCCTAACCATCCCACCTATGCAGTTGCGCCTCCGCAATCACGGCCACGGCCTTTCGTCTCCGTAATTACCAGGATCAACATTTTGATATCCTGCCATCTTCGTGTAATATAGGTAATTTTTGAACTATTCTTTTCTCAAAAACCGCACAAACATTTTCTTTAAATTTTTCATCGTATGTATTAAAGGTTAAACAAATTCGTGCTTGTCTCATTTCCGACAAGGTCTCGATATTTTTTCGAAATGGTAAAAAATACAAAATTGACGATTGAGATTTTTACTTTGCACAATTTTTGTTCTAAAAATAAGTTCTTTAAAAAAGTAATGTAAAATTAATTGAAAAACATGAGTTGTTTGTGCGTAATTTGTACTTCAAATTAATGCAATAAAAACACGTTCTCGAAAATCGCGGGTAATTTTTTCTGTGGGTAAAGGAAGGGACGCTTCAAAGAATAGCGTAGATCTCATTTTCGTTGAACTGTCTGTATTTTGGAAAATATGGGCTAGATTTTTTATGCGTTAGCCCAAGTGTGTATGCCAGAGCAACTGTGTGATGTAGCGATAAAGCGCACGGCGAGTTAACTTAAAGGAGCTCAGTTCGAGTCACGGGGAGGCAAAAATGCTGCCTGAAAACATTTTTGCTGGTTAATGTAGCAGTAGCCGACCTGGATGGCCGAGATGGCTAAGAGCGTGTACTGCCTCACCGCTTCGGTCCGAAGGATCGTGGGTTTGAGTCCCGCCTGTGGAATGGTTGTTTGTCCCTTGTCTTTAATGTATGTGTTGTCGCGGAGGGCCTCGTGTTCTGCTGACCTCAGATCAGAGGAGCCCGCAAGTGTGTTGGTGTCTAGTGTAGGGTTGAAGGAGCGTCCCATCGGGACGTAAAGAGTAACAGACTGCTGGAAGAAGCCCTAGGAAAAAGGTATAAGTATAATTTTGAGCATCCGTGACAAATAATGACAAAAAGTATGTGCTGTTGTAGCTCCACTTGTTTTTTACGTTTCCTGACGCCGAAGGGGCTTTTAATTATATTAATAATAATAAAAAATATTTAATAATTAGTTATAATATATTCACGGCAAAATCTTTCACGCCCTTCACGATCAATGTCACGATCAACAGTCTTCTTACCCTCTGTATGGCTCGCAGGTGGAGATTTGTATACTGAAACTGAGGGTTTCATGCTAGCCATTCACAATGAAGTTATTCCCACCCAAAACTACAGAAAATAAGTCCAAAAAGATCCCCAGGTCCAATACCGCAGATGTAACGTGTGAACGGAAAATGTAGATCACATTATTTCAGGATGTGAAAACGTCGCACAGACAGATTACACAATGCGCCATAATCAGATCGCTTCCATTATCCACCAACAAGTTGCAACCAACCATAAATTTAGCGATCATCATGTCCCTTACTACACATACAACCTGAACCTGTCTTGAAAAATGAAAAAGTCAGAATTTATTTCGATCGCACAATTTTGAAGCACAAGACTCTAGAACATAACAGGCCAGATATTGTGGTAACTCTCAAGGTGCCAAAAACTATTTTTCTCATTGATGGTGCAGTCCCTTTCTACAGGAACACGCAAAAACATTATCGAAAAAATAAGGAAGCACAGCAATCACATCAAAGATCAATGGAAACAGGACCAAGTATTCGTCCTCCCAATAATTATCTCCAGTACTGGCCTTATAGAATAATATGTCTAAGAAAACCTTAAAAAATTCGATTTCTCTCGAAGGCCTTTAAAATTAATGCTAAAGTCTGTTATTTTAAATACATGCCGCATTGTCCGGAACTTTCTACATTCAAATTCTTAAATAAATAACAAATAACTCACGGCGAAAAGTCCACTGTTATTTGAGAACTAGGTCTTCCTGTGAACCAGCAATGTGTAAATATAAAATAATAATAATAATATTATTATTAATAATAATAATAATAATAATAATAAAATAATAATAATAATAATAATAATAATAATAATAATAATA